TCATAGTTAGCTTAAAAATTAAAACATCTTAAGAATCTACGAGAACGCAGATCTTTTTTCTTCAAATTCCACGATGGATCAGTCTACTATTATAGTTTGTCTAACACTAAATTCGGTTCTACCAAACAGAGATTCGTTAAGTTATACGTTCATAAAACAGAGACAGCATATGCAAGTGTGACATCCTTTAAAATTAAATGCCGAGGACACACACACGAATACACACACACGTCAAGTCGTACAGGTACTCGAAAATGTGAATCGAAAACCTTGGGGCAAAACTACTATAATAATATATAACGACAATGTTGACTTTTTCGGATCTGTGTTGTTGTACGAGTATGTGTTTTTCTCATTACGTATTTCATGCTGCGAACGAATGAGAAAAGTATTTTCTCACCAGCACGTTTAAAAACGAAACGGTCGACGAAAAAAACTGTAAATGATCCTTGGGTTTTTGGTTAATTTACATAAACAAACGTACAGCACAACCGCGTTTTTCATCTCTCGTAACGTAAACTGTAAATAATCGAGATCGGACGATACAACTGCATCCCGGAGCAATTATACTTGTACGTTGTATTAACATTATTTCCCGCGCGTCATTTTTCTGGTCGCATTCGAGTCATATGATGACAGAGAAAAGAATCATATATTGTCATCCGATAGAATAATACCGCTAATGTTAATACTGTTGGAACAGATCGGTTAACGTCGCGCGGATAAGACGTTAATGGCAATAGCATAGATCGGTGGCGAAACCCAATAGGTTTTAGAACCAACGGATAGGGTTTATCATTTATTATTATTAGCGCTCGCGATGATTTTAATATTCCACGCGGTCGACCGCATAGTATAATATCGTGTATTTATTTCGACTGAAGTTATCCGCAGAGCAGTATAAGATATGACATTAAAGTCGAGGATCTAAAGCTGCAGGAGTAGACCGAAATCTGGGAAATAATCCTGGACCAATAAAAATATCTTTTTTACTTTTTTTTCAGAAAACCTATAATACACCGACGAGTATTACATTTTACAAATCGTGTGTTTATAAGCTAAAGATTTGAAATACAATTTTTTCTTTCTAAAACGTATTCGTTGTGTTGATACAAGTAATAATAGAAAATATTGGTATACAAATACGGCGAATAATATTATATAGACTTACATGTTTAAATCCAATAAATGTTACAAGGAAAATGGTACAAGATTTTGACGTTTCTTTTTTTTTCCGAATAATAGGTAATAAATTTCTATTGAATAAATATTCGGTATTTTTTTAACGGTTGAAAAACAAATAAATTTATTTTATAACAATAAAAAAAAAAAATGACAATAACATTCAATTAATTTATTCGTATAATTATGTGTATGAAAAATAATATAAAATTGATCAGTAGCATCTAATATTTATCAGCCATTCAAAACTATAATTTCGATAAAGTATAATTGTGCTGAAGAATATTTTTCCACCTAATCATCTACGATTAAACAATTTATATTTAAATGCAATTACGAAAACTTAACGATGTGTTAATGAAACTTAATGATACCAATTGTATAAGTTTTGAGTATAAAAGATCAAGAACTAAGTTTACAAAAATCTAATTTTTGGTTGAAAATTATTTCCAATTTCTTTGCTAAATAAAATATAAGCATTTCAATAATTTTAAGGTACGATTTTAACCTATGAATTCCTTAGTTCAAAATGCCATTTTACGAAAATATTTGTATTTATAAAATGTATTCATACCCTGATAATCTCAGTATATCTCAGCAGTCTTAAATACAATACATAAGAATTAAGTATATCATATTATATTTTACGATAACTAAGATTTTGTTAATTTCGTTTGAATTATGTTTTAAAATATAAACTAATGTCATGTATATTTTTTTACCGGAAATCATCAAAATAATTTGCATATTGATAGCTTGTAAAAGGTGTTTTAGATTTTTACTTTCAGTCCTTTATCATTTGGTAGATCGACTTAGACATGTTACATATCAAAATTATAATATATGATTAATTTGAATGTATTCGTAAATCGGTATTAGCCATGTATATGATAAATATCAAAGAAAAATAGTTCAACAGTCTTCCTCTCAAAATTGTGTAGATCGTCTCGAGTGGATTTTAATATATGTGTTTATGTTAAGCGTATTTCTACTTACAAAATGCAGTAGTTAACTGTCGTTGTATGTTTAAGGGTGATCCATGATGACTGTAGAGTTAAGATGAAACTGTAACATTTTAACAACTTATCGTTTTGTGATATAAACAATAGAATGCAATATTTTTTATTTTTTTATATTTATTAAAGGCTTCAACAACACAGGTTTAAGTATTATCTAGTTTTCCGGTCAAATATTATAATATGATAATATTTAATAAACCAAAACTAAATATTTTTACATCAAACTATAATTTTATCTTAAAATTAATACAGTTATGATCGGCAATACCAATTGTAATAACATTTATATACTATACAAATAATATACGTGTTTAAAACGTTTACGTAAAAGCTATTATTTACATATAAAAGTGTATCATGTTAATTAATATATTATGTTTCTGATGTTTGACATGTGCCATCGCAAGCCCATTATAGTTTAATATTAAATTTTTCGAAACTAAACAAACCGAGATTTTATTAAAATATTACGTACATGTCTAATTGTTTACGTTTCATGGTGTGAAAACTTTGATTAATATTTAAACCTTTCAAATAAGCAAAAACACAGTTATTTTTTTGTAGTGAACGCATGGTCATTGTATTGTCTTAAAACGGGAAACTTGCATGGTGTAACGAATGTTTTCAATTCATAACACGTATATACCCGCACGGTACCTTTTTAGTTTTTCTTTACACTGGGGTGGTGGAATACATCGGGGCTATTCTGAATTTATGTTACAAAATTAGGTTTAATCGCGGTAGACTATATTGTATAGCACGTATATTATGTACAATAAATACACTACAATACACTACAATATATTGTGTGCATTAACGTACACATTTAAGTAGCCTTGTACAGTGTTTCGTTAGATCAACTACATGGTTGTTTTTATAAGAAAAAATGAACAGTTTGTGTGGTTTTTAAATGAACTGTACAAATATATATTTTTCAACAAACACACGATTACCAGGTAAATAGTCTGTTTAAATTTTGTGTGCACATATTTACCATGGACAATGAACAGTTAGTTTTAGTGCTGGTAAGATTTTGTAAATATTTTAGTACACGTGATTGCTTTCTCTTTTTCTTTTCAATTTACATCTTTGATAATTTATGTATATACTTAATTCGAATTATTACATCTAAACTATAACATGACTTAGTGGCATTTTAAGAGTTATAGTTTTTGATTATACACGGCTATGTTGAAACGTTGATACGCAACACAATGTTAATGTTTTATTGAAAGAATTATAGTTTATGAACTTAAAATTAAATTTAATCCCCCTAGGTAAATAACTTAATAACGCAGTGTAACTATGCTCGTTAAATTAATATAGCATGCCAATCACTAAAGTTCTTAACTTGAAAATTGTAGGGAGTTATTTACAAACTTTCCACGACTGTTTTTTGCTTATAAAATCATGATTGTTTTACAAAAGAAATAATATAATCTTAATTATAGCGAACTTGTTTCCGCATCAATTGCGATGAATTTAGATGGATTGGGTTATCGCATTCGTGCATGTATCCACAAAAATATGGTTTTGATGTACGAAGAAGAGATCTTTACAAAACCATATATTTGAATAACATTGTAACTTTATAAGGTACAATTTTTTAATTTATAAATATACTGTACTCATTTTGTTGAGCTGCGAAAAAAAGTATAAAGCAATTATCATTATAAAATTTATCGTATGAGCCCGTGAGTCTGTCGAGTTACATTATACGTTTTGACACATTTAATATGAAACTGTTGCCTTAGCAACTGTATTAGAAATAACGTTTTAAATCCGCACGGAAAAGGGTAACAGTAAATTACTTTACGAAACAGTTATTTACAAAATTAAATATATTTTCCGGGGTTTTTTTTGTAGTTAAAAATAGTTAATTGTAATAATAATCAATGTTATTAATTATCACTGATCAAGCTTTAGAACATTTAATACTCGAGCAATCACTTTTTTTTTTCTGCCATTGTCAATTATGTACTCCATGTCAACAGATCGACATATACTTTTGGAAAACCATAAAACAACAATCGATTAGACAACTAACTAGAATTGACAATACTGTTGCTAATAGCTTCGGTGTTAGTGCTATTATAATGGTCTCACTTAAAAGGTTTTAAACACTCTAAGTGATATTACGTATATTTCATCAAAGTGTCGAATGACGCATAAATAAATCAGCTATATATAATGACATAATGCATTCATTGCCTTCGCTGCAACCGATGGCGTTTGATACAATTTTTGTTATTCCTTCACAATCTTTATGACATTTAGAAAATGGGTTGGAATTATATACTTTTAGCATCATCGAGCAGCTGTTAATCGGCAGTCAGAAAACTTGTGTACTTAATTATGTTTTGTTATACTCGGTTATAAAACAACAACACGGGGAATGCAACCACATATTTTACACGTAATTAATGAAGGAAATAAATAATTGCTGATACAGATTTCATAGTATGAAAATTAACTATTTCTGTTAAGAACTTAGTTGTGAAATATTTTATGAATTCCATGTGTTGTTCATTTCTTTTATGAATATTGTTTCTCTTTTTTCGGCAGACGAACGTCAATTAAAATTTATTTTCTATAGTCGTATACAAATCGTAATAGTTCCTACACAATTCAATATGCGTTATAGATTATAACAAAAAATATCTCTAATCTGCATAATTTTCGTAATAGAATACGTATCCAATACGTGAAACGTATACAAAATAAATATTTATTGTAATAAACAACTGTTCATATCAATATGTGATAAATTAAGACAAATACAATATTTCACAATTCATATTTGTTCTTTATTTATTTTAAATTGGCAATATTATAACAATTTTAAATGTAGCGTTATTAAAATCAAAATTTACATGACCAATCAACGTCTATCCAGGAGTTACCTTTTTATAAATATATACAATTTTATCATTACATTAGATTTATCTCTTAAACTTACGTGAGAGTGTTTATAAATTGACATTAAATGTTTGGTAACTTCTGGACGGGCTATAATAAACTGATTGAACATTTATTTTTACATTAAAATAGAAAACTTATGGCAACGAGTAAAATTACAGTTATGGCGTAATGCGAAAAACTACACTTTCTTAACATAGTTTTAAGTTTTTTTGTTTAATATGCAAGATTTTGATTGTTTTCGAATACATTTTAAAAAATTACTCCGTTTAATACCAGTGTAATTTGAACAGTAATTATAAAAATATATTTTGATCGTATAAAATCGTGAGAATTCGCCTAAACTAAAAATAAAATTATCTGAGCTTTTTTTCGGTGTTCGATCTATAAAATGCTATTAAATCGATTCAAACTTTATGGAAAACAGGTGTATTATTACAATAGTATGATTTGTCAATGCTACAAAATGTTAATAATATTAACCGTCGATAAAAATGTATTCGATTTCCGTGTTGCGTTCAAATTAGTCTAAACGTTTCACAACATCCGATCTCAGTTTTGTTCGTCTCTAGATTTCCTTCTGACGACTTTGATCTTCCGTCCGAATTCCGGTTGGTCGTCGGCCGGTGCGTCCGAGTAGCTCTTCCTGCTCGGCCTTTTCACCACGACCGACGGATTGAAATGGCTCGGTTTCACCACCTGATCGAAACTGCTCCTGATGGTTGCGGTCTGTGACTCAGACTGTTCGCAAAACGAACACTTGTACGGCACTTGGTATGCGGACGGGAAAACAGGTTCCAGTTTGGACGAGAGCGCTTCCTTGGACGCGGCACCGCATGATGGGTAGAACACCACCGGGACGAAGCCGATGACCGCGCCTTCCGGCAGGTTGTTTAGATCAAAGGCGGCTTGTTGCTGCAGCTGCTGGTAGCCGGTAGAGTTGCCGGTGGGCGGCACGAAATAGCACGGGCACGATCCGGGATTAGGCACGATGGGCAGCGGGTAAGGGATGACGTTGACGGGCGTGGACGAGTCGGGCGCAAGGGTGGTGAACTGGTCCCCGCCGTAAGACGCGGTGCTCGACGGTTCGGCGTAGTCGGTCTTAATGGTGGGCTCTTGGGGTTTCGCCGAGGACAGCACTACTACGTTGGACTCCTGGCCGGACTGGTATGGCGTCCTGGTCGGTTGATCAGTCGGGCTGGCGTACTGTGGCGTCAGCGAGCTGGAGTGCTCGGACGAACCCGACGACGACAACTCGTTCTTGCCCAGAACCACGGTCTTCTGACCGAAGTCGCTTTCCTGCTGTTGGTCCGGCACGTTTATGCGCACCGCCGAGCTCGGGGTGGTGTACTGTGACGGGACCGAAGGGCTTGCGGTTGTCTTGCTTGCGTAGCCGGACGGCAGAGCTGAAGTGAACCCGGTGGCCGGCGTGGTCGGTTGTGGTTTCTTCGGTTTGTTGTCCGACGACGGATAACCGAACTGCTGTTGCTCGGGATAACCGAGAGCGTTTTCGCCGTAAGGGTAAGGTCCGTTGGGCACGGCATTACTAGGGTACACGTTGTAATCCGGTTGGTATATCTGGTTTTGACCCGGGTACAGCTGGAAGAACCCTTCGGAATAACCAGACGGCTGGCTTGGTGGCGGGTAGTTGGGCAGTGGTCCACTGGATGGTGGTGGTACCGGGTAACCGGAACCCACGTACTGCGGGTACGCGTTGGGTTGCTGTGCTCCGTAGTCGGGAACGTTCGGTGTTTGAGGATAACTGCCAGGATAAACAGCCTGACCCGGGTACGACGACGGGGAGCTAGGCTTGCTCGGGTAACCGTTTGAACCTTCAACACGAATATATTTAAATTCAATATATAATACGTTCGAGCATAAATCAATTGGTATCTCGTGTGAGAGTATTTACCTGAACTTATGGGTGACGGTGTAGGTTTTGGTGAAGTAGGATAAGAACTTGGTAGTCCAGGAGTACCTGGTTGACCCGGTGTGCCTGGTTTACCTGGTTGTCCTTGAACGTGCAATAATTATATATTATTGTTGATATTATTATTGAACGTTTATTTCAGTGAATTACATTTTTAAATAAAACGTACAAGCAATAGGTATGCATTAATAACCAACATAATGAAATTAAATATTTCAGTCTATTTTGATAACATACACTTTTTTCATATATAGAATCTTACTAAACATCCCGAAATAAATTGTGTTCAATTTGCCGTTTATTTGATATTTTTATGTTTACAAAGCTAAATTACCTGGTGATCCAGGGTATCCTGAAGCAACAATAGGTTTGCCGTAATCAACTGATGGTTGGGGTTTTTGACCAAATGATTGAGCTGGTAAACCTGGAAGTCCTGGTGTTCCTGGTTGGCCTAAAATTGATAAAATAAACATGGTTAAATAAAGCAATTTAAATCTTGCGCGTATCTAATTATACGTAGAATTTATATTTGATAGATTTTACCTGGTGTACCAGGAGAACCTGGGTATCCAGCTGGTGCGCTTGGTTTTTGGTATGATGGTATTGCAGGGCTACCTGGTGTGCCTGGTGTACCTGGTGTACCTGGCTTTCCTGGTTGACCTAAAGTACAAGATTCGTCTTTAAAAATTATTTTAACTTAACATCTAGCTCGTACGATAAATTTACTTTAAACGAGTATATTTTTCTCCGATCAGTAAAAAGGTTTTTGCATTCGTATAAAAGCAGATCTAGAATAACTCATGCGTTTTTAAATAATATTTACCTGGGCTGCCTGGGTAACCGGAATAAGATGGCTGTGAAGGATAAGTTGGTTGAGCTGGGTATGTTGGTGGTGGGCTTGGTTTTTGATAAGTTGGCTTGGCCGGTAATCCTGGAGTTCCTGGTTGACCTTAAAATCATATTTAATAATGAATTGTATGAAATTATGAATTATTTAAATGAAAACCTTACAAACACTGCTTATTAAAAATAAAAAGTCGCATTTTGAACATCAAAATTTTTATATTATACTATAAAGAAATCGGTATGTATATAACTACTTAAATGTATATCCTTATCAAGTCATATTAAAGGCGAAGATATTATTTTATAATTTTTTTTTAAATATTTTTCATAAGCTCAAATTAACTATTTTTGAAAAATAAATTTTAAAAATCATCAATAGTGATTATGTTTATTAGATCTTAATTTGAATAAGTAATGGTATTAAAATTAAAAGATTAAATATTCAATAAGTCTTGTCATCAACATCAATTATTAAAATTCTCTTTTTAAAATATTTAAATTATAAATTTGTTTAATTTATAATGTTGTTTTACCTGGGAATCCTGGAGTTCCCGGTGTTCCTGGTTGACCTAAAACAGAATATCATTCATATTTCATATGGAATACATTGCGTAAGTTTTCAGAAAAATTCAAACTTCTATTTATGTTAATTGAAGTTACACGAACTATACGTTATAGTTATATAATTGTAATACCTGGACTTCCTGGATAGGAAGAACTTGGAAAACCTTGTGAACTGGGTTTCACTGACTGGTAATTGGGTTTTTGGTTGAACGTAGTAGTTGGATAAGCCGTAGAGCTTGGATAGACAGTAGATCCTGGATAAACTGAACCTGGTGTTCCTGGTGTACCTGGTTGTCCTAATTTCATAAATTTAAAAGTAATGAAGAAATTACGATTACGAGTATAAATTTGGTTCTATGAACTTAATATGTAATTAAAGAAGTTTAAGAATTTTATAACAACTATGAATTGATTACCTGGTAATCCAGGTGTTCCTGGTTGTCCTAAAACATATTAAAATACAAATGTAGATTATTATCAATTATTTCCCATCGTTATTCTATAAATATATTATATTGAACATTTCATGTACAGAAATCACATAAATTACTTCAAATTCATAGACTTAGATAAATGTGAATATTTTCATATTTTTGTAAAATAATAATTATAATTATATAAAAATTGATTATATCAAATATTGATGTATCTTCTTTTAATTATATAGTATTCCTAACAAATCAAGAATAAATTTAACTCTACCTGCACTTCCGGGATAACCAGATCCTGGATATGATGAGGTACTACCATATTGGTTACTGGAACTTGGTTTTTGGTAGGATGGTTGGTATACTGTTCCTGGAAAACCAGGTGTTCCTGGTTGACCTATTAAAAACACAATCATGCTAATCGAAATACTATAAAATAAAGCAATAGGTAAATAGTCAACACTCATTTAAACATAAATATAAAATTTATAATTAAAAGGGATTGAATATTATTTTAGTTTTTAAATTTTTGATAAAACATCGAATTCAAAATTATTTTTAATTAAATATCAGTGGAGTGGACTGTGAAGTGTCATAGTATGTACTATATTTTTTTTGATACAAAGACATTTTATATTAAAATATTATAAAAAATGTATGTATTAACAAATTATTACAATTAATTCTTTATTAAAATTATAATTCATTATTATTTTCTGTTATTTATTCTTTTTTATTTACAATTTTTATCATCTTTTTTTTTTTTGACCCATGTTCGTGACCAATAACACAAAAATGCCGATCTAGAGTTCTCTGGAAACGTATTAGACTATCTTCTGATAAATACACATTTTATAAACTCGCTTCAACTTTCAAACCTATGCTGAATAAAGAACTATTATTTCCATAACTGGGCCTCTTCATTCTTAGTAAATCTATTCATTCTGGAGGACAAGCCGTAGTTGCCTTAATCAGAAAAAAACCCAAGCTCTACTAAACAATGATATTGTTAATTGATGTAAAATCAATAAAAAACAAGCAAACACTTTTTTTAATTATTATTACAGATTTTTATATATTATGATGAATATTAATGTTAGACTGTTTACGCTATCGTTTCAAAATTAAGTTTAGGAAAAATACCTGGTAATCCTGGTGATCCGGGAGATCCTGGTTGACCTAACAAAAATTGTAATTCTATTAAAATAAGTTTTAATACAATATTACATTAAATTGTAAAGTTGACTTTCAATAATTTATACATTTTCCAGTTATTAAATTTATTTTGATATTAATATATTATTACAAAAATATTAATATAAACAATTAGTTTTATGGAACCAGTTTAAATAATCAAATAAATTGAATAAACAAATAAATTAAATCATTAGTTTTATCTTACATTACATATTCTATTTTTATATTTGTTATTGAATAAAATGACATAATTATTTAAAAAAAAAAAAAAAAATTGAACTGCTGTAAATTCTTAATTTTTTATTATGAATATTATTCAAAAATGAAATATATTATTGTTATAAAAAAAAAAATAATTATAAAATTGTACTATGATTAAGTTGATATGATTTTTATGATTTTTAATTTAATTCTCATTTAATAAATATTATATTTGAGATGAATAAATTACAATAATCAAAGATATTATCCTTTGTTGAAATACATAGTAGAGTTTTAATTAAAATAAAAAATGATAAAATGCACTAATTACAAATTTTTAAATAATATTTTTCAAATATCTTAAAATGACTTGATGTTAGAAATTGCAATTAGTTCATTGATTAAATCAAGATACCGATGTTATTAATTGAAATAAATACAATAAAAATCTTTTGTAAAAAGCACAAGAAATACTAAATTTCAAATAAGTTCTTATATCATAATACAGTTAATTTTTCATTTCACAATTTTTATTTGTTAATTCAATTAGTAATTTAATGTAATTTTTTGAGATCATTATAATTGCTATAATTTAATATATGATTTAATGTATAATTTTACTGTTGCTTCACTAAAAATCATTTAATTTTCATTAACTTCCTTCTTTGTATTTGAAATTTGAATAGCTTGCTCTTTATAAAAAATGTTTCATCAAAATTACCTGGACCTACGGGATACCCAGTAGCTGGGGTTGGTTTTGGGTAGTAAGGTGTGCCTGGTAATCCTGGAGATCCTGGTGAACCTGGAGTACCCGGTTGTCCTAAATAATATAAGGTAAAATTAACATAATTGTAATGAAAAATATTATAATATTGAAAAAATTGTTTTAAAACGTCATTTGAATACAATACTTGTGATAGTAAATAGGTTAACATGGTATGTACCTGGACTTCCTGGATATCCTGCGGAAGGCTTTTGATAAGCCGGTTGTGGGCTGACATAACTTGGTGGCGGGCTTACATAAGATGGTGTACTTGGCAATCCTGGTTTACCTGCATAATAAAATGCATTTAAATATAAATCGGATATTATTTCATCTGAAATAATTAATAATTTAAATAATTCAATTATGATAAGTACACTTAATTACCTGGTAATCCAGGTGTTCCTGGTTGACCTGGTTGACCTGGTTGACCTAGTTAACAAAGAAAAATAATTAGTTAAATTCCTATATAATCACATTAATAAACAACAGGATATGAAGTAAATTATGTTTCACATAGGATCACCTTAGTATTAATATTTTTATCATACCTGGGCTACCCGGGTATGCAGATCCTGGGTAAGATGATTGTGGAATGGAGGATCCTGGTTGCCCTGGTAAACCTTAAAAAAAAAATTAAATATAAACCATGTGAAAAATTAATAATAGTATTACTAATTTAAAAATATTTTTGATTCATTATTTATGTTAAATTAATAGTAGGAAGGTATATTATTTTAATTTATAATTTTATATAATTAAATTTAATATTACGAGATAGTTCACATATAATAAGAATAAATTAATAATCAAAAGTATAATATAAAGCAATGTGTAATAAACATATGTTTTGAAACATATTTTACATATTTCATAAAAATAAAAACGTCAATAATTGTTATATATTTTTCTTGTGATTTACCTGGTAAACCTGGAGAACCTGGAGTTCCTGGTGATCCTGGAGAAGCTGAAAAAATTATATATATATATATATATATATTAGATTACTATAGATTTATTATGTAATTAAAGCAAAGAAAATTTTAATTATGTTTCAGTAATTACCAGGAGCTACTGGATAAGAAGGCTTAGGGTATGATATGGATCCTGGGAATCCGGGTGTTCCTGGTTGACCTGCATCATTACAAATGCATTTGTTTATTAAAGCAACCAAGCAACTAAATGTATGTTATTTAGGTGAACTTATTTCAATATATTTGATTTTACCTGGTAATCCTGGAGAACCTGGAGATCCCGGAGATCCTGGATAAGCTGAAATAAATTGTAGTAAATTATAGTTCTATACATTTTTAAAATAAAAGAATAAAAATAATTAAAAATATATTTTTGTAATTACCTGGAGCTACTGGGTAAGAAGGCTTAGGGTACGATGTAGATCCTGGGAAACCGGGTGTTCCTGGTTGACCTGCAAAATGTCCAAATGGATTTATTTAAGAAAGAAACCAAGAACAGAGTTTGGCAAACAACACATTTTAATTATAAATCATTAAGTGTTTGATATTTATTTTAACTCATTTAAAAAATGTTTAATTTTTACCTGGTAATCCTGGAGATCCTGGAGATCCCGGAGATCCTGGATAAGCTGAAAAAAAATTCGATAAATTTTCATACACATTTATAAAGGGACTGAACAAAAATAATTAA